CTTTAGCTTAAGTAGCACGGAAAAAAGTCATTCATTCAGACAGACAGTCGAACAGTAAGCCTAGAGCCAACATTATCTTTTTGACTTTGTAAACAGAAAAGAAATAAATATTCCGTACATGATGCAGAACGAGCGAACTTATTTAATAAGTTAATTATGCGAAGATTCTGAGCAGCAATAAATCTTAAAAAAGGTCTCCGATGAACATCTATGATAGCGTTCTTTGGTCAGTACGTGCTATACATTTAAGCCAAAAATAGTTTTAATTAGTTCTACAAAGATTTATGCGATTCTAACAAAGATTTCCGGTGAAGACTTTCAATAGCCAAAATCAGACTCAGGATATATTTATACTACTTGATTGTCTGTTCCGTAATCTAAATGTATCTTTTGATGATTACTTTTTGGACAATACCTTGACTTGAGTAATTTGAGAATGGGATGTATGCTAATTTGATTACTTTGTAGATCAGAATCTATTGCGATTATATACAAAATTGCGTTATGAACGTAGAAGCCCAAGTGATCATTAAGAGGGGAAACTCGAGCTCCATGTGGCGGAAAAGCTTCTATGTTATTGAAGAAAGACCGAAAGTGTGATTTTTCAAGATGATGTCGTGAGCCTGTCTTGACTTAGGTGTCTGCAGGTCCGACTAAGAAGTGACAGGTTGACAGTTCAAATTCAGTTCTCTCAATTCGTATACTTGTTCACCTAGCTTGCTTTTATCTACAATGATGTTGGGTGTGCTCTTTAGTAGGCCCCAGCCAGTCGCTTGTTTCGAGATACTTAGCTGAAATTGTGGATCGAACGCCAGTGTGAAGAGGGAAAATAAAATATTTATTAACTTTCTGCTTAAATTTAAATAGGTAAATGTGTTTCTTTGCATAATAATGACCAGAATCTTAGGATACATTAATATGAGCAGTAATGAGATAGACCCTTGGTTGATTCAATCCCAACAGAGTCGAATAACCTGGCTAAGACAGATTTTAATATATTTTCAAATTTTTTTCACCACTGTGCAGCCACCACTTTAAGCTAATTATACGATTGAAATATTGACGACAATAATGTTTACAACAATTTACATAAGTTTATTACGTTGTTTGGCCAACAGACCCTGTGGCTAGTATATATATTAGTATTACCTTTGGGCTGATGGAAAACTGCAGCTTGGAGCTGCAGCATTGCGGCGTTTTATTCAAACGTAACGGCATGATTTCTATATATTGTACAATAGTAGTATTGCTCATTTCACAGTTCACAGTTTTCATTTATTAACTAATTTCGGATTTACGTAATCCCCAAAGCGTTCAGGCCTCAGCGACGGCATTTACACGCAACCACCACACAGAGAGTCGAGGTCAATGATCAGTGAAATTTACTTTCAAAAACAAAAACAAAAACAAAAACGAAAAGAAAAGAAAATTTCAAAAATCTGCTTTTCAGCTTTTCTGCTTTTCAGCTTTTCTGTTGACTGAAAAGTCGCTCGGCGATCGGCTCAAGCGGAAGCCTAAACGTTTCTTAGATTAATTTGTGGTGATAACACAAAAACCTAAGCCCACAAAATATGTTTTTAAAAGCTTTTGCAATGCGGCCGAGCTAATGGGACATGTGTATTATGCCCAACTAGGGCACAGCCAACGCCCCGGCCTGTCGCTGCTTGTCATAACTAGAGACAAGAGCTATTACAATTATCTTCATCATCATTATCAACATTGTGAACATCATCATCAGCAACATTATGATCATCATTGCCCACACCTTGTGGCCATTAGCAGCCAGTCGCCGCGCCGAAGACCCAGCCCGTCGTTCCCAATCCAATCACGACAATGGAGCGCTGCATTTTACCACACTTGAAATCGCAATACAATGAATACATCTGCATAATTAATTCCCACTAACGAAGATGTTGAGTTAATGAGTTTGGCTCGAAAAATTGAAGGCAACAAACACGCGCAGGTTGTTGACTTCAGCCGGGCGAGTGAGGGGGGTGGAGGGGGGGTGGGGAAGCCACTTTCGGTTTCAGTTTTCGGCTGCTTCCTCCATTGTCTGTGCAATTGGCCGCAGCTGTCACATTGGGCGGCAGCATATAAAATCCACTTGCCACACGCGCACAGATGTATATTTAATTATGCTCATTTCGGAGCACTTGATATTTTTTTTGGCCAAAACTAATCGGCTTGGCTAGCTGTCATATTCCATTTTGGCCAAAAACGCAAATTGCAAATCGCACAGCTTGCCCAATGAGCTGATGTATTTTTAATTATACCATAATTTCGCCGAGGCTTGCCTGCTTTCAATTAAAAGCAAAAATCCAAAACCCAAAAACAGAAATAAATGCAAAGTGTCCACTTGTTTCGCTTAGCCATCCTGCCTGCTTTTGGCCAAGTTGGCCACAAAGTAAATCAAGGACGATTTTATTGTTATCTGCATATCGTTTGGCTTTTTATCAGCGCGCTCGCAATTTCGTTTTAAATGGATTAAACATGCACGAACCGAACTCGAATCGAACTCGAATCGATTTCAGCTCATTTCTCACCCATAAAATATGCATTGTTTTTTGTTTTTTTTTTTGTTTTTTGATTTTTGCTGAACGCACCTTTGGCAAAAACTAGGTTATAACCTTGAAATCCCACAAAAGAAACGTTGAAAATTTCAAACTTATCAATAAATTCATGACGCTGCGACACAAAGCCGGGCGGGCAGCACATCAAAAGAAAGCCTCACAAAAACTTTAAATAAACAGAAACAGAAAAAACGTAAATATATATTCAAATCCATGCTAAGCTCCATTAAAATGCTAAACAGCCAAAGTCTCTGTTTGGCTTCGCCGTTTCGCAATCCCATCAGAAACTGAAAAATATTCCAACGGGTCGGACAGCCGCCTCTCGATGTCTCGATGTCTCGATGGTTGCATTTGAAATTGCCAAAGGTCACGCCGAGACGATGGTTGCCAAGCGGTGCAGCAAGCGCATCCCAGACGCCACTCAGCCACGGTGTCATCATCATCATCATCATCATCAGCGACATCATCAGCGACATCATCATGAGCATTGCTACATAGGCTGCATTCATCCCAAAAAGCTGTTTGGCAACAACAAAGCGTACAGCAATTAACCATATAACGAAAATTTGTACAAATTGACAACGCGCGAGTGAAAGAAGAGAGGAAACGAGCTGAAAGAGTGAAAAAAAAAGAAGAAGAAAAACATAAAAAACTGGATTTTATAATTTCAATGGCTAAAAAAAAAAAACACGCAAGAAAACGAGCCAAGGTCATTGCGAAGCGGCCAAGCTGCGAAAGAAATTGTGGAATCATGTGGAATAACATTTACACTGAGCAGAATCACCAAGAAGAATGCGACAATCGAGAACGGAGAGAACGAGATCCGAGTCTGAGGAGAACTTACTGAAAGAAATAATCACAAAATAAGCTCCAACGCATGATAAAGAAGATGGAACCAGGGCTGCAAGCTCCAAGTCAAATGGTTGTTGGTTCCGTATCCTCTAAGCCAGTTTCTGGTTCAAACCTTGGTGTGTCATATATTTTAGAAACCTGCTGAAACTATTGCATATCCAACATATTTGAAAGGAAAGTATTGTCTGATAAATTCTGTAAGGTAGTCTGGCCAAAAAGTTAGCTTCTTATTTGAAGCAAATCATTTTCGAATAATATATTTGTTGTTTTGGATTTCGGTTCAGCTGTCTCGGTCTCACAGTTCAAATTGATTTGCAGTTCCGGGCTCAAAACGGTTTGACTCAAAATCGGTTTGTAGCTTTGGCAAAAAACAAGCCAAATATGCCATACATATAATATGCTCTAAAAGTGTCTGTACATGAATCTGGCCTTTCAAAGTGTTTTAAAGTCTCGATTCATTTGCATAAATGTAGAAACCCATTTAATTGATTCATATTTCGAGTGTAGCTCTTCATTCTGATTAAAACACATTAATTAGATTTATTTATGATATAGCAATGGTTATAAACTATCACAACTTTGTTGTAAATGTGTAAAACTGGGCTTTGGCTCACATCTACATCTACACACTCGCAGCTAGAAGCTGGTTTTTAGTTATCTGACTGCGTGGACAGTTCGTCTCAGTGCAGTAAACAGATACTTTGCCGAAGAGCATAGCTGCAGAGCTCATTGAAATCGAATATGATCCGTTGGACAACAAGTTTTTTTTTTTCGCCCAGTGTTGAAATAAACGTGGCTGGCGATTCAACATTCAGGATTGGTCAGCGGAGGCACTTGTGGCTACAACTTTTAGTGGCAGAACCACTTTTCGATTGCAATTATTCGAGACACGGTAGCACATGAAGCAGATGATCATGATGAAGAAGTTGAAGAAGTTGAAGATGAAGATCTCCATGCGCAGATAGGCAGAAGTGACTGTGCGACGTGTTAAACATGTTTTGTTTTTTTTTTTGTTTTTTTGTTTTGGCGAACCATCAACAGCTCGAGAAATCCGGTTGCTCAAAAATGCGTAAAGTGGGACGATGTCGCTCCTTTACAAACAAAGCACAACAACAACTCTCTGTAATATTATTAAATGCCTGACAACTGGCCGGGCAAAACGCCAAAACACAACTAAATAAACATCAGATCAATTAACAACACACAAAACAAAAAAAGTTGATTTGTTTGTGGCCTCATTGGCAGGTGTTGATCAATTGATCAATAAAAAAATGCAACTAGCTTGGGCCTGGCCCATTGCGTAAGCCGCTCGAGCTCTGCCCGCCTCCAGCAACACCCTGCTCTGTGGCAATCCCATTGAGAATCTCGCTCAGCTTTTTTAACTCTTGCGCAAGCTCTAAACTTGAACTACATGACGCTGCGCTGATAGACGACATGCTTATCATTCAATTGAACCTGAGGCAGCCCAAATTGGGTTATCAACTGGTCTGGCAGAAGCGAAAAGAAAACCGAAATTTGTGCTCGACGCTGCTTAGAATTTGGCAGTGCTTCAGTATTTGCTCGTACTTGGAACGTGTAGGAAATCCAAAAATCCGAATAGATCATGCGTCTTGTGCTGCTTGCAACATGCCTCTGGCTGACTGTGGTAAGAGCTGAAGAAGAGCGGCTGTGAAAGCAATTCATATAAAGCAGAGTTATATTCGTTGTGTCAACGTGCAAATACCCTTGCAGAAAGCAGAATTGTGTTAGAAAATTTCTATATTTTTTTTATAAATTTTGATTGAGTTGGCCGCTGTAAATACAATTATAATTTCGGTACAATGCAATTGTCTATCAAGACAGCAATTATAGTTTAGTATAGACGTAATCAAAAGTGATCAGAATTTGATGGATATTGATAGGAATATGGTACAGCTCGAGTTTGATTCATAGCTATAAGGCTTAAAGGTTTTTTCTTTTAATTTCACCTGCAAGAGTGAAAAATTCGTGGAAAATGGTTGATCTTTGTGAAAAAAATGCGGCGCAAAGGTTTTATGAGCAAATGCTGAATTTTCGCTCTATTCTAATCTCGTAATTGTTGAAGATTCATCCCGTGTTTTCGTGACTTGTAAAGTTTACCTTACATTTGCACAGTTCCTGTTTTTCACTTTGTTTACATTTCACACTAGCGGAAAATCGGGGAAAAGGTGAAAAGGTAGAAAGAATAACTTGGCATGGGCAAAGCTGGATAAAAACCGTTGGCATCTTTCCTTTCCTTACTCAAACTCAATATTCCAATTATAATGTCAGCCGTCTATATCATATACTAGTAAAGATGCGGAATTTCGATTATCTGTCAATTTCGTTAGGATAGCTTTCAAATTGATTCAGTTGCTGTAGATAATGCTTGAGGATTATCTATGCTCTATGGACTGCGAAATGTCTTCTGCAATTCTTACCGATCTTAGCTAATCAGTTGACACGCTTCCAGCTGGAGAGCTCGGCGCTGCTGAGCGGCGAGCAGCGCAGCATTGAGAAGTGTCTGCGCAACTATGGAGGACTGAGTGCGGCGAACGCGGAGCGTCTGGAGCGGTACACGCAATGGTCGGATAACTATGAGGAGGTGCCCTGCTTCACGCAGTGCTATCTCAGCGAGATGTTCGACTTCTATCACGACCAGGCGGGCTTCGAGGAGCGCCGCATCCGACAGCACTTTGGCGAGGCCGTCTACGAGGCGTGCAAAGAGCGGCTTCAGCTGGGCGCGGATCAGACCCAGAGCAGCTGTGAGCACGCCTATGCGGGCTTTCACTGCATTGTCAGCGTGAGTGTGGATGGGAGAGATAAGAGCTGCTGGCCGGGCCAGTGACCGCGAGCAGCCAGCTGATAAGAATGTTATCTATATGTATTTGCAGCTGGAGAATGATCCGTTCATATTGATAGAGAACATGCCGAATGCCACGCGCGTCGCCAAGTCGGCGATGAAGGAATGCCTGCAGCAGGTGGATCAGGTGGAGTGGAATCGCATTGCCGACTACGCCCAGTTTCCGCCCACAGAGCCCATACCCTGTTTTACGCGCTGCTTCATCTCGCAGCTGCAGCTTTTCGATGAGCGCACGCGCCGCTGGCGTCTGCCGGCGATGCGGCAAGTGCTGGGCGTGCCCCTGGTGGGCGCCCATGTGGCTGGCTGTGCACAGCGCCGTGGCCGGAATCCCTGTGCCACGTTTTACCAGCAATTCACCTGCTTTGTGGTGGCCGTTTAGCACTTGTTAGTTACACTGAGCGAACAAAACGAGTGTCTCGACACATGTCTGCAAATCATAGAGTAATGCAAACGTTTAAATATTTTAAAAATTGAAAAAAACGTTAATTTTTAAATCCAAATTGCAAATGAAACGTTTTCATAAGCACTCGCACAGTCCCAATAAATATAGGAAAATATAATAAAAGTATGTTCCATTTGTGATTTTTAAAAATTACAGCTCTTATTTCATAAAATGCCAAACAATACTAAATTTATAACTTATTTTTGTGCTCCATTTTGTTACGATCCTTGCAGAGATTTTAATACTTTTGTCAACAAAACTTCGCACCTTTCAAACATACATTTATATATTTTTTATATAAAGATATTTTTTTGTTTTTTTCGGTAATTATACTTTCACTGCAGAATCAGTTTTTTTTTTTAAGATAAACTAACCAATCTCAGTAATTGCTTTTTCACACTCCTTACATATGATTAATATATTATCAACTATATCATAGAGAAACAATCAGCCCGAAGTTGTGTTCAATCATAAATACAACGTTGGGTTTTAATATCGAAAAGAAAACTATATTTGAATTAATATATATTGTGAAAACTGTTTTCAAAAATATTTACGTATACATTTTTGAAAATTGCATAAAATATTTTTCGTAATTCAAAATGTTTTATACAATTTTTTAAAATATAGAGAGTATATGTGAAAGAAAACTTTCAGAGGATAAGAAATTTTCTCATTTTATTGTGACCTTTGAAAAAGTAGAAACATTTTTTTGAGTGTATTTTGAATATGCTACGCCTATAAAAGTGTAATTAGCATTTGAGGTGCAAAGTGTGGCACGAACAGAAACACGTTTCGAGCTGAAATGAAGATTTGCAGTTGGGGTTCACGTTAAGCAACGTTTGTTCCATTGAGATTGCCGTTGAGTCGCTCCCAGCAGAGATACTCGTCGTACATCCAGGCGCACTTGTTGGCCGCCAGGCGCCGCTGCTCCTCGCTGTTGCGGCAGGCGCTGTAATCCGGCTGCGGCTCCTGGCGGCTGGGCCCGAAGGCCTGCTGCCAGTTGGTCAGTCGCCAGTTGCCGGCCTCGTCGTAGAAGCGCAGCGTGTCGGCAAAGCACTGAAAGAGACAGGGTATGGACTCCTTGGGCTTCAGCTTGCTGTACTGCAGCAGCTGCACGTTGGTGGCATTCAGCTGGCCGCTGCAGAGCAGCAATGTGGCCAGGCTGTTGCCCGCGTGCAGCTCCGCCTGCTTCAGGCAGCGCAGGCCGCGATGCGCATAGCTGCAGCCGTCGCGGGTTTTGCGGCGCAGCTCGTAGCGGCAATAGTTGTAGATGTCGGCGCCCAGCTCCTCGGCCAGGCGCTGCTTGTGCCACCTGTTGCCTGGGATGTCGAACCAGCCCTTCTCGCTGGCCAGACAGCGCATCAGGCAGGGCAGCTCCTCGCTGGTCCAGTTCGCATAGCGTGCCAGCTTCTTCAGATCGCTGTCGATGCGCTCCGGGCTGCTGATCTCGCGCAGGCACTTCTCCAAGATCTGCGCATCGCCCGTGAGATCGGCTACGGTCTGCAAAATGTTGGGTTGCTTTTTTTGTCTAGTTTCGAAAGGTTGGGGTCAGAACGCACCACAGCACACAAGGCCAACAGGCTGACGGTCAGACGCATCTCAACGCTTGGAATGCACAATCTCAACTGTCGCCAGTCGGCGCGCTCAGCCCGTCGTGTCGCAGCCTCGAAACATGCAGCTGCGCTTATCAGCAGCTGCGTCCTCAGATTAAGAGAGTTCAATGTTTGCCAGCCGCAGCAGCAGCAACTGGAAGAGCAGAGCTTGAACCACTAGAACCAGCACTGACTAGGTCAGTTTTTATTTCTTATACCCTAAACCCATGGGAAAGGGCGAAAAGGGTATACTTGCCTTGTGCAAATGTATGCAACAGTCAGAAGAAGGCTTAACCGACCCCTTAAATTATATATATGTTACTTTTGTTAAACATGAACATCCAATTGGGTATAATGTCCGTCCGTCCGTATATCAGTGTGCTCTTATTACACAACATCGATAACTTGCCCCAGTTTTATAAAATCGATAAAAAATAGGCATAAAGTGTCAAGTCATTCTAATGTCCGTCCGTACGATTGTCCTTTCTGTGTGAACGCGTTGATATCGGAGATATTAAATAATAGACATTAGACACTTGATATGAAAAAGTTCCTCTTGTTGCTCGCCAAATCATCGATAACTTCTCCCTACTTAATAAAGTCAATAAATAAATAAATCGATAAAAATCGGTAAAAATCATCGAGTCTTTTAAGTAAACATATCCCTACTCAGAACTTACAGACAAGCCGATCTTATGTCCGTCCGATTGTCCTGATGTGAAAACGCGTCGATACCAGAGGTATAAGATAAGAGATATTCCCAACCAAATCATCGATAACTTGCCCCGTTTGTATAAAATCGATAAAAATCGGTATAGAAATACATTTTTTTAAGTATATCGGAGCTTTAAAGAAGTAGAGACAACAAATGTGGTAAGCAGATTGCCGTATAGTGTAACCCGAACATTATCCAGAATATTCAAATTTGAAGGATTTGACACCCTTCCCACAAAAGTTGTAAAAAAACATTTTTGGGAGAATAGTCTTGAAGGAGGAAAAATGCGGGCAGCAAACCTCAAAAATTAGTCGCTGGTTCATTTTCGCCAATATCCTGCGTTCAGGTTCGGTTCGTAAACCTGGCTGTCCACACCTTGATTTGTTGTATATTTTTAAAATGTTGTTGAAACAAAGAAATTTTCAATTTATTATAATTGCCAATTTTTCTAAAATTAATGCATGTATTACGCATTGTCATAATGGAGTGGTGGACTATATTTGATCTCTACCCAAAGAGTCTCCCTTTCCCTTTCTCTACCTAACTTTGTTTTGAAACCATCCTTGAAAATAATTTATTTCAGTTCGGGTCTAAGATCAGGTGTTTTTTGCCGATTTGCCAAGGATACCAAGGATGTCTTTACACACATTTGAATTATGACCTGAAAGTTTTATCAAGCTCGGCTTCTTAGTCGTGCACTCCCGACCAAAGCACTCTAATTTGTTTTTGTGTTTTTATTTGTTGTTGTTGGGCAACAGTAATTTTTATTTAGAGAGTTGCTATCACATGAGATTATTTTTGACCATAAACCTTGCGCACAACATGGCGATTGATGGGCAGCCAGCAGGAGAAGACGCGATTGGCCCAGGTGCAGACATCCGATTCGGCTTCATTGTGATCAATGCACTTCTCGAGGCCATGACGCACTGGCTCCAGATCCTTGAAGTTGTTCGATGTGAACTGCGCTATAATCGCCTTCTCATTGAAGCCCTTGCGCTCCGTGAACAGGCCCATCTTCTCCACAAAGCACTTCACATAGCAGGCGGTGCGGCGATGTTCGGGAAACTCATAGTTCAGGAACTTTTCGTAAATGTCATCGGGCACATGATACTGCTCGTGGCACTCCTCGTGCGCCTGCACTGCATCGTCATGAGTGCGTATCTGAAACTTGGCGCTGACCTAAAAAAAGAAAAGAAGAGAAGAGGAACACCTTTATGTAGCTCCCAGTTGAGGTTCGTCAAGGACACAAGCCCAAGTTACCTGGCCAACTGTGGCAGTTGCCACCACCGCAAGGCTGAGCAACAAGGCGTTAAGTTTCATCTCTGGACTGCAACTGCGACTGCGACTGCGACTGGAACTGGACTGACTTCTGGCAGGGCCTGAGTGCGAATGTGCCAACTGGCGAGCCAAGATTTTCCATAATTTGTATATGGCCAATCGGCTGCGACTAGAAAATAAGACCAAGACGCGAGCTGCTGCTGACTGAAAGCCAAAGTGAAACAAACACGCCAAACCCGTTGCCGCCGGACTGGACGGGGGAAGAGTTTGGTGGTGCAAGTGGTGCGGCGGTGCTGGAGGTGCTGGAGGTGCTGCTGCTGCTGCTCTGTTGATACCCTTGCGTCAGTTTTGCTCTTAAAAAACGGGTAACTGTAGCAGCAGCATTAACCAAACGGGTTTGGGTTTGGGTTTCGACTTCGACTGCGACTGTGACTGCGACTTTGCTGTCAACGGCATTGTTTGGGCCGCGCGTTGGCTTGGCCTGGTGTTATATAACCAACGGCTACGTCGGTGGCTTTAGTACCTGGTGGTTACGTTTTGTTTGAGCCAATTAAACGATTTGTTTTTTGTGCCACAAATTTACTTGGGGCTCTGCCACACACCAACATTTTTGTTGGCGCCTCGTCGCTTTTTTTGTGGCTTTTTTTGGCTTTTTGCTGCAGCAAATTCTAACACCTCGTCGGCAGTTTGCTGCACACTTCCGCCATGAAAATGTTCGCCTGGCAGCCATTTTTACCTGCCACACAGCAGCAGCAGCGGCAAAAAGAAGAAGAGGAAGAGCCATATTTTGTTTATATATTTAGCTGGTCTTTTTTTTTGTTCTGTCGCTGCGCAGCGCCACAAATAAATTAAATAAATTATTCAATTGAATTTATTTATTACCAACCAATTTGGTCGCCCAGCGGACTTTTGCATTTGTGTAATTAACGGCAGGCGGCGCACACAATGCACAGATTGCCAACTCCAACTCCACCGTCCGAATGGCTCCAGGGGAATATTTGTTGCAACTGATATTGGTGCGGGGTTCTCAACCCCAATGTGCAGATAAAAAAAACCCAGAGTCGTAGTCGCCGAAAGGCATATTTATGGGCCTGCCTGGAGAATAAGATGCATATCTTTGTATTCACGCAATCACATGTTGTGGACAGCTTTTCAAAACGAATTTATCTGGCATGGCTTATTACGGTGTGCTCTTTGATGACTAGGTTTGTTGAGACTAGCTTTACAGCAACTGTCTAGAAAGTAGTTAAAATTATGCATTCCCTGACTTAAGAACTCTGTTCTCTTTTCTGGTAAAATCGCCCTTAGCTAATTTAATTACACTCCCAAATATTTTAACTATATTTTAAAAAAATTTACATAAATACGAAAATATATTTAAATACCAAATATATTTGTTGTTAAAAAAATCTTTATTCTTAAGTAAAATTCTAAAGTAAAAAAGGAGAATCTTTATTTACCAAAGCTAGAAATTGTATTTAAATATAGGTAATTTTATATTTTATGGCGACTATCTAAAATATGGGGTACACCATAGTTTTTAGATATTTTCTTTCTTCTTCTTTTACTTTCAAAGAGCGTATCTCTAATCTTATGTACTTTATTATAGCCTGGGGATTCGCATACTTCTGTCTGCAATCGCCTAGAATTGAGAATCAATTAATTTGTAGCGCACTCTTCAATTTAGGACGGAAATCTCACTATTGACTTCAATAAGTTGGCATAAGTAATAAAACATTTAAAAAAATTTTAAAAGTTTAATTTAATTTCTATATAATTTCTTGATTTCTTGACTTCGGCTAGCAAATTTGGTATATCCAATTAGATCCCCTTGGAAAAACTAGCTGTCAGCCACTGCTTTTTAGCCAAAAAGAAAAGAGAGCAAATAGTATAAAAATGTTTAAAAAATATGTGAATTTCAAATGTCAGTTCGTTGGGCACACACCATTTTATGGGGCGGCCATCAACCTGTGACTTTTTTAAGGGTCACCATTTTCAGTTAACGTTTTAACCTTTGCTCCCATAAATTGAACAAACTGCTGGCGGTGCAGCCCCCCCCCCCCTCCCCCTCGCGCCACCTGAATGCTGTGTAGTATTTATTCAACAGTTCAAAAATATTTGCAAAACGCTTCACAAATGCATTTTTTGTCGAAGCCATTTATTGAAAATATGTATGTGAAATGCAAATGCGTCGAATGTGATTGTTGCAGCCGAAAAGCCTGAAATGGAAAACGTAGAAAAGCATATTGAATTAAAAGCAGGCCGAAGCAGATAATTGATACTTGAATTGTTTTATATGCGGTACATAGATGTATATGTACATATATGTGATATATACATAAACATAAACATAAATGTTGAAGTAGTAGTAATCCATGCTTATAATAGAATATTTGAATATTTTCAAATAAGTACGCTTAATTAAAGTAAACGAAAATACTAACTTACAGACACTTGTAAACTTATTGCCAAACAAAATCAATTCCAAATTCTTTGGCTTGCATTTTCATCACATTTAAAGCAGTTAACCTTGTTGGACTTTGCCAAAAGTATTCAAAGTGGCCAGATGCATAAAGTAAGCATCATAAAATTTCATTGTTTTTCTCTGCTGCACTCAACAAAAAAAAAAGAAGAAACAACAGAAAAGGTCCCAGTGCAATTAAAAAAACAAATGTCAAAAAGTTACATGCGAAAACTACACGATGCTTTGTGTTTTGTTTGCATGCAAAAGCATACTCTGCTCTTTTCTTCTACTGCTTCTTCTTTTTTTTTTTTTTTGGTATTTTCTGTTATGTATTTTGGTATTTTTGTTGCCGTTTGTTTTGATAGCCGAAACCAAATGCAAATTCAATTGGACGTCGTATGCATGCAGGCTGTGCGCCACAGGATATCCGGCTGGCAGCCATTTTAGGCATATCGAGGTCCTTGGACAGCCAAAAGCTAAACAATAACATTTTTTCAAGCCGACTACAAACACACTTACGGCGGACGTACAACACTTGGGCTGTCAAGAGTGGCAACATTTTTGCTATTTATTTTTTTTTGCTTGGCCTATAAATCAGAAATTGAGCTGCGGTCGCTCCAATCCCCCCGCCTTGCCCCTCTGGCTGACTGTCTCCTGGTCTTTGTCTTTGGCTCGTATATTATGAGCTCATATTAAAACATTTTACACACAATTTCGTTGCAGTTGGTCGCCTGGTGGCCAGCCTGCCTGCCAGCCTGCCAGCCTGCTTGGCTGCCTGCCTGGACCAGGCATGAATTATTATGCACCTAGGCGTATACGCAATGTTTAATTTTCAACTCGAGCGGCAGCGGCGCGCGCTGCACACACATAAATTCTAGGGCCGCCGACAAACGACTTGTTCAATTTCTCCATATTTTTGCCGGGCATTGCCTAAACTGTCCCCCCCCTTCCCCAGCGCACTTCCCCCTGGCTCGACAATGTTGAAGCAAGAAAATATGTCCGAGCTTGCTAAGGAGCAGTCAGTATTTTTTTTTTTTTTTGTGTGTTTGTTTTTGTTCTCTTGCTCAACTCCTGCCGCGTGCCCCGAAAAAGGGAACTGATGCAGGCCAGCCACGTACACATGTCGGAGAACTAACTGCAGGCAGCCACGTTCCCAGCCACGTTGCCGTCCATTGCCCAGTGGCATTGTTGCTCCTCTGCCTGGTCGTTGCCATCATCATCATCAACAGCGACGCAGCAGCAGCAGCGGCAAAAATTTCAGCCATTTGTCCTGCATGCTTGCGGCATAAAAATATGCCAGGGCCAGCATTTTCATGCGGGTCATCTACTCCCGGCTACAGTTCCCAGTTACCAGTTACCAGTTTTCAGTTCCTGCCTCAACTTGCAGCATTTGAAAGTCATGTGCCGCCCCGTTCCACTAGGTGTCCACTGGGCGTCGCCCCAAAATGTTAGTTTGTGCAGTTTTCTCTTCTCTCTTTTTTTTTTTTTGGCAGGTCAGTCGCCAGCTTCTCAGCCTCCGCAGCGTGTGGCCCTAGGTAGGTAAGTTTTGGGTAGCAGTCTGGCTGTGCCGCAGTCGGAGTTGAGAGCCTGCAAAAATCACACAAATAAAAAATACTGATGGACAGGGTAGCAGGCGGAGGGGTGGCATAGTACGTTTAGCAAATGGACTCTGGCCTCAAATGCTGCTGGCACTTTCACAAAACATTTGAAATACAAATAAAAATCTTCAGCATGTGTGTGTGAGTTTGTGTGGAGGAGAGACGTAGCTGCTGCAGCTGCTGGAAATCATTTCAAATGCAAAGTAAAATTTCATTTTGTTTTACTTTACACTCACACTCACACACACACACACATACACCCAACCCCTAGCTTTGTAGCCCGCCGTCTGTCTGCTAGTTGAACATGTTTGTTTACGCTTCATCATGTCGTCGTTAGTTGCTGGTTGCTGCCAGAGTTGCCAGAGCTCTCGCTGTCTCTGTATGTGTGTGTGTGTGTGTGCTGGTCAAGCGTCTGCACCATTGACACGATGACATTTTAATATGGCTCGTAACTTTTGTTTAGCTTAGACGCACATCTAGCCGCACTCACCCTCGCCCCACACCCTACACCCTACACTCTCTCCCTCGCCCACTTCCTTGGCAGCGTCTTTTGTATTGATGTTGTCATTGCTGTTTGGCTAGTTGGAAGTTTGTGCCGATTTTTTTTGCTGTTGTTGTCGCCTTCAGCTTACGTGCGTGTCATCAGGCAGCAGCCAGCGATTTGTATTTAGATTGAGATATTTGTATATAGACAACAGCTGAAGCTATTGCCTGCAGCTGCAGACAGTTAATTCAATTCACTTCAGTTTTATTCAATTTTCACATAAAAAAAAAGAAAAGTGAAGAAAACTCTGCCGCCCGCTCGTTTTTATGTTGATCCCATGTGCTTGCAGTTTTCGTCATATTTTCTTTTTATTTAGGTAAATTGCTGCCTGATTTGATTCAAATTGAAATCCAAAGGTAATGTAGTGCATAAAATCAGAGTCATGCAGACATATACATAACACGCATCGCCCCTCCTGCTCGCCCCTGGCGGCACCTTTCGCCTGCTGCGCGCTCAATTTTTCATTACTCATGCTTCAATCAATCACAAAAATGCGATTTT